ACGTGTGCGGGAGCCGAAACAGCGGTGCGAGCTTTAGGAGCTCGGCGCGCATATGACAAGAAGAAGCCTTAGGGTAGTCAGAGCATAATTTGCTTTCGGAATAAGTGAAAAAGCTACCGTCTTCCCCCGAATCGAACGTAAGGTCATTATTGCTGTATTTTAAATGGAAAGTTGCCCCAAATACAGGGATAATGACGGTACCTTCTATTCGGGGGAAGAAGGTAGAGAAGGTAGAGAACATACGACAGCCATATGGCTGCAAGATGGCCGACTGGTACACGAACGCATACGCCTGTGACTTGATGAACAGATGTAAGCAGTTCGTGTCCTGCGGGTCCCTGCTGGATGTAGCAACCTTGCATTTCGCTTTTTCTTGTTTTTTTCTCTTAATGTTTACGATGGAAACACAAGTTTAATCTGTTTAATCATCAACCATCCAATAAGCAATCCAATCAAAGGTCCAATCAAACGATTCAAACCCCTTTCCAATCAAGGAAGCAACCAACGACACAAGTCTGACTTTGGCAATAGCTGAGACTCGAGACGGACAAAGGACAATCATACATCCATTTTTTAATTATTATTATTATAACTTTTAATTTGTGTTGTCCTTGGGCAGGGGCATTTCTAATCTTCTCGGTATCCTTCCAATTTTAACGGATGTCCTCGGACTTCACGTGGGAGGGGACTGTTCCTTTGGGTTGAGGTGGTCGGGGGCGGAGGAGATGGGGCAGAACGGGAAAGACAGGAGGGCCACTCACCTCAGCTCTCCGATCCCTACGTCGGCTCGACCTTTTTTTTTTTTTTTTTTTTTTGAGGGTCGACATGCTGGACGATTTCCCAATTACAATAAAAAAACAAAAAAATCGGGAAATTGATGAAGAGCAACTGACCAGGTCTCAGGCAACACACACAAAGCACAGACGCGGCCGCCTGTGAGAGAATGTACACTGTATACAGGGCAATTGGCAAAGCGAGGATGCTCTGCCTTCTCCCTCGGAGATGGAACCCGTGTCAAGCACACAAGTACTACTCGTTGCACGCAAGAGAGAAATTATGGGATGCTGGTGAGAGGGAGGCTGTTACATGCTGTACAGGCCCCAACCTGTTTCCCTACAGGGAAACTTCCAGGCTCTTGCCTGGAAGCTTCCTTCTGACAGGGCCTACAGGCCCCAGCCTGTTTCCCTACAGGGAAACTTCCAGGCTCTTGCCTGGAAGCTTCCTTCTGACAGGGCCTACAGGCCCCAGCCTGTTTCCTTACAGGGAAACTTCCAGGCTCTTGCCTGGAAGCTTCCGCAGGGTCTAGGCCAGGGAGGCATTGGCAAGAGCAGCCTCCTGCGCATAGGGCATTGGCACGACCAGCCTCCTGCACGGGCCAGCACTATAAAGGACTGGCCCGCCCTGCAGGAGAAAAGGCAGTTGGGCAGTTGTAGTCTTCAGGATTCGGGAGCAGCACTCTGGAGGGAGCGCTGCATTATAGTAGTAGTAGCGTTATCTTGTAGTCTTCAGCGCTGGGCGCAGTAGGT